AGAACTAAAACCGTAGGTACGAAGAAATCAAACTAAAGAGAGAAGAGAATCTGAAAGGAGCGAAGTTATTTAAGTTGTTCCAATGCCAAGTCTCGTCACGTGCTTGGCCAAGCGAATGAAATCCTGTCAAATGAAATCCAGCTCCGTCACATAAAGAAGTAGAATAAACTTAGATATTTCTAGCTAATAAAAAAAGTATTAGATAAAGAAGTAAGTAGAGTAGAACTTAGATAATGTGACGGTTCTCACCGCCACCATGCCTCAAACCAGCCCCTGGCTGGCACCCGTCGGCCGCCGTGCTTCCCGAGCCCGGCTCGGTTAGCTATAACCCTTGGTACTCCTCCTGTATATAAGAGCTTCCAGCTCCTGGACTTCTGTCCTTTCTGCTCTTCTCTCTTTAGCTTAGAATCTTCGAATAGACAGTTCTACGATTCCATAACCTACACCTTGGACGCTCTCTGAGCAACATCTCGTACGTGTCGTCACAGATAATTACTAGCTAATATAACTTTAAGCTATAAGTGTTTTTATAGTTCTATATCTCTTAAGTTTAATACATAGAAATAGAAACTTTTATCTCTTATTTAGTAAGGAAGCTACTATTTATCTACTATTTACTACTTAGAATATATACTTTTATTAAAAGTAGTATTTCTCTTAGTACTTTAGTATCTTATTTTATTAACTACATAAAAAGTTTTAAAGAAGGTTATATTCTTTTTTATAAAAGAATAGTATTAAACCTTTATAGGAGAATAAAGTTAGAATACTCTTAAGGTATATAAGCTAAGTTTATAGTAGTATAACTTAAGGTTACTATACTTAATATAGATCTTAGCTTATATAACGCTTTTTAATTATAGGATAGTAATTAAGACTACTTTCCTATAGTTAGTATATTTATACTATACGTTAGTTAACTAATATAATTCCTTCTATTTAGTAAAAGGAATAATAGTTAACTTAATCCTTAGAATAAAGTGTACTTTTCTATAGCTAAAGGTATTATTAATATTTTAATAAAAAATAAATAAATAGTATTTACTATTATTTCTATACTTATTATTAAAATAAGTAATATATATTTACTTAGTAGCTATCAGGTAGAGCTTTATAATTTAATTATATAGTAAAGTATATATTATTTTTAAAATAAGAGTCTATTATTTTTAATAGTATTATTTTATTATATAGGTATATAGTTTAGTAGAAAGGAGATATAATACTTAGTCATAGATTTATTTTATTATATAGGTATACAGTTTAGTAGAAAGGAGATATAATACTTAGTAATAGATTTATTTTTAATTTATATTTAGATATATAGGTACCTTAGAGGGGAAAGCGGAGTTTTTTAAATAGTTATAGAATAATTTATAAAAGTAAAACTATTATAAAATTATAAAACTATTTTAATTTATAACTATTTATTATAAAAACTATTTTATATTTTAAACTAATATAAGATAATTTAAAAGCTAAGTAGTTTTTTATTTATAACTATTTAAATATTAAATAATTTTAAGACTATTTTAGCTATAAATAATCTTAGATTTATAACTATCTTTAATATTAATAGTTTAATTTATAAATAGTCTTAGAATTATTCTTAAATAGTTCTCGAATACTTTTCGAACGCTCTCGAAATAGTTCTAGGATAGTATAGAAAAGTACCTTATAGAGTTATATATAAGGTATAGAGTTATACTATATAGGCTATATTACGTACTCGGTACTACTCCTATACGCTTAACCCTAACGCTATAAAGATATAAGTATTAAATTTAGTTAATTTAGCTAAATTTAATAAGCGTATATTATAAGCGGCCTAACGTATAATATTAGTAGTAGGTATTAAGGGGTTAGGTACTACGCGTATAGTATATACTCGTAGGCGCTCGAGTAAAGACCGGGAGTACCTTACGCGTACCCTACTTCTATAATTATATATATACCTAGGAGTAGGATTTAGAACCGTTCTAGAACCGTTCCAGAACTATTCTAAAAGTGTTCCGGGACTATTCTATAAGTGTTCTATAAGTGTTCGGTAACTATTTTATATTTAGGAAACTAGTTTTATATATAAATCGCCCTTCTTTTATTACCTAGCGGTTTTTTCCCTAGGACTAGATTCTATATAAAATCCTCTTTCGAGAGTTTCTAAATAGTTTAAAAAACTCTACTTTTCCCTATAAGGTAGTTATAATATATAATTATAAAGTTTTTATATATTTTAATTATTATTTCAAGTAGATTATAGAGATTTTTTTTTAGTAATGTCTTTAAATAAGAGTACCTAAATCAAGTGTTTTTTTTTTAGCTATTTTATATATATATTAGGTATTTCTATACTACATAGGGTAGTGTGACGGTTCTGACCATCATGTGTCACTTGTATCACGTGGCGCCGCTTAGCGACCCACACCATGTATGTAGACTCGAGCTCCCTCGAGCTCTCCTCTTCTCTTCAGCTTAGAATCTTCGAGTATGATAGTTCTACGATTCTATAACCTACACCTTGGACGCCCACGGGCAACATATCGTACGTGTCGTCACAGGTAGCAAGTTAGAGTACTTGAATTAGGTGTTTTAGAAGTACCTAAATTAGGTGTTTTGGGAGTACCTGATTCAGGTGTTTTGGGAGTACCTGATTCAGGTGTTTTGCTCCCACTAGGCTGTTAAAGCCGTAGCCCAAAGTAGTACTGACCAATCACCAGCAAGTGTAAGTACTGTACTGTAAGGCGGTGCGGTGTGGGTTTGCGGTGACGGAAAAGTGACAGGCCGGTGCACACCCTGGAAATAATATGTTTTAATATCACGTGAGGACGACGGATATCACAAGCCAGAAGCGGGGCAGGAATCATTAACGGCTTTATGGTTCCTGCCCCTGAGAGCAGGAAGCGTACGCTAGGGCTAGGGCTCTTTTCTTACCCGCCACTAACCCCATGTATACTCCACTGCTTTTATACTAGTAGCTAGCCTTTTTAATTCTAAGAAAAAATGAATAGAAAGAGCGTTAGGTAGCCTAGGGCTCTAAGCCCTAGGTGTACTGTTCCCATATATATATACCACCTTGCCCCCTTTTCCCCTCGTGAGCCGAGCAGCAGTTCTCCCTCGGTAGCAAGGAAGAACAGGGGTACACCCCCCCCNCCCCCCCCCCCCTTTTCGAGGACGAACGTGGAAATTAAAAGAGATACTTGTACACTTAATATATATAGAGCTTAAAATAGAGCTCAAGAAAACAGCACTATAGTCGAGTAATAGTAAATAGAAAATATCAATTTAAGTAGAATTTATCGATTAAAATTAAATACCACCTTCTAGGGTTTTAGATCTAGCGTTATTATAAAGTATTCCTTAAAGTCTAGTTGACCGTTGACGATTTTTCGCGTTTGTACTGTTAGTTTTTTTCGTCCACAGCGAGGGCGGGGTACAATTGTTGAAGTGGAGGGTCCACATAAGACTGCTCAAGAGCAGAGACTTCACCTGTACTCGAGTACGTGCATGTGCCACGTGGTGTGCTTTCTGCACTTCCAAGGTTGGAACCTTGAGTCAGGTCACCTGACATCGGTATGCCTATGGGAAGTTTTAGATTCGTTGATACCCCACACACGAGACGAGGTGTGACCTATCAGCCATTCTGACAAGAGGTCTTCTTGATGATCTCTTTGTGCACTTATGGTTTGTGCTCTGCAATTGTGACTACCCTACTTGTGTACCTGTTATCGCTTAGCGTACCCTAGCTCCCAAGGTCCACAACAAATACATACCCACACGGGATACAAAGTCTGGTGATCTACATGTAATAAGGATCCATCCATAATTTCCCAAATCAGGTATCAAGCAGAGGATTCGAAAAGAGGAACACCTATAAGTAACAGGTATTTTGTGAAACGACTTGGCATTTTATAACTAGGTGAAATAGCGACCCCTGGTGCCCTCAAACGTAGCCGAGTATAGCCTACGACCGGTATGGTGCTACAAATTTTGTTTTGTTTGCTTTCGAATTATGCGTACTAGAAGGATTGCTCAACTAATAGCGTTTTCCTCAAGTGTGTATTCTGCCCAATTTCAAAGTATAATTCCATGCTCAAGACACGTTTATTCAAGGATCGTTCTATATAAAAACAACTCTGGGACGTTTTCGCGATAGGGTATTCTAAAAAGATCCAGTGGAGCGTATTACCGATGCTTAAAAATATCATCATCATCGGCGTGTACTGTGGAGATCTATAGAAAGAGTCTCCGATCGTTTCTATTTTCTCGTGGTCTAAGGAAGAAATATGCAAAGCACGGAAAGGTTGACCAAAGAAAACGGGAACTTGAGCACTCGATCGGGCACATAAAATTGGAATGATCAAACCAGCCGAAGTTTTAAACCATTGACATTTATTTCAAGCCATTATACCGACCATCAACAACCTAGCGCGCAAGTGCCGAAAAAGGTCTTGGGTCATCATCTAGCATCTTGGGACACAGCTAATCACGTACAGTAGATATCTTCCCACAATGGATGAATTGAAGTACTCATACTCGCAGGTACGACTAACAAGCAAGCCCTTCGTCTTACGAGCAGAGACCTAGCAGCTATAACCTGGAATCCAGTCGCAATTTCTATAAAATATCAGTAAAGTATCAGGACTCAAGACCAAGAAACCAGCAAAATCATATTCTCTTTGTGTCGGGTATGATAAAACATAGGGGCGGGAGAACCCGAATCAATGTATTGCATATCTCAAATTACTAATTCGAGGGAAGGTACTTACAGTGCGATATGCTGTTCCAGAACCACTCTTGCAAGGCGTCTTTGAAAGAACTCAGTTCCAAACATCACCCTTATCGAGAGATGAAGCTTCTCTAGGAAATGCTCCGCTACCGAGGTAGCGAGACCGACAGGAATTAGAAATTATGGAAACAACAACGGCGATGGAAAACTTCATGATTGCTGTTAATAGTAGTTGTAAGTTGGGATTCTTAACATGCTTTCAAGAAAACTGTAGATTTTGAGAGCTATTCCGTTGAGATGAAATGCGTTTTATAATTAGAGGAAGACAACTTGTATCTATGTGCATTTCTCAGGCTCAAATTCGCACTTTCGATAAAGTGTATCAGGAAGAGTTATATCTTATTTAGCTTTCTTTTTATAAATATTCCTTTAACGAAAGGACTTACATAGGGCCGTGCGATGAATCCTTGGGCAGGTAAATCGACTACCCCACTCCTCGCCTAATATTGGCAATTCATCATCCCTCGAATCAAATAATTATATAGTGTTGCGACATATCCCCTATTCCCGGTACCGAGGATTGTCACGTGTGGCTAGTCCCACCGCCCGAGTACTAGAAGTACCCGGATCCTTCTACTCCTTTAGTACACAGTTGATTACCAATGCTTGTAAGGTGCTGATTTCATCAAGGCTTCGATAGAGAGCTGAAAGGCTTCCGGTGGACAAGAAAAGTTCCTGGGATTCGTTTTTATTTCATTAACGTGGCCAGATGTGGATTTGTTGGATATGTTTGATGAATGTTTCGGAAATCTAAATGTTTTCTTTCGGTCGTAATTAAGCGAGTTGGAACGGGTATATGATGATTAGTTTAGGAGGCTTAGAACGATTTGTATTAGTATCAGAAGTCCGTCTGGTTCTCTCTAGATCTGGGCGATCAGGTAATTTGGTTTCTCTTCGCTTAGTTTTCCAAGTAGTAACACATACTCAAGTACTAGCTCGTCCCGAAGCTTCAATCCCACTAATAATAGCCAGCAAAGCCAACACCACTAAGATATAAACCATTAGCACACAATTCCTGCCATAAAACCTCCCCTTCTCTTCCCCACCTCATCCAAATCCATAGCGGAGGCAAAAATCAAACTTACAAGTCCCAGCAGTCAACACAAACCCCGCAACCGTAAAAGCAGTCTGCACATCCCCGGTCCTCCAACTCCAAACAACCCCCAACACACACGATACCAACAAGGGCATCAGCCCCGCAATCGCAATCCTCGTTCCATTCCAACCCTCCACGAATTCAAGGGCGTGTCGACGATCCGGTTGGCGTAGACGGAATACCCAGTCGATCCAGTCATGCTCGGTCTCGATTGTGGAGGGATTTTGATACGCGTGGAGAACTTCTTGGATGATGAAGTCGTCGAGGGGAACGATTGTTGGACGGGTGGTGGGTGTGATCTAAGAAATTGATGTGAGAGGTTGGAATATCAAAGATTAAATCTTGCTCCGTGATATCCAACAGGTCGGAAACTAACCGAGAGAAGTCTTATCCCCCTAAGACTCTTCAAAAAGACAGCCCGTCTCCAAAATCCACACATCTTCCCGAGATACGCCTCTCTCAGCGCCTCAAAAAACTGACGATCACTATATATCAAGTTCGGAATCCGCTCTCTATTTTTTTGAAACTCGACGTCGCTTTTGAATCTATCTTCCCTGGCCGTTTGTAATTTCTGGAACTGACACCCTCGCGCCCCAGAACGATAGCAGACTATATTTAAGGTGCAGTTCGGCTTACTCGTGTCGTAGAATCGATCGCCTGTCTCCTTTTCTGTATCTGTGAATCTGGATTCTACGGGTGGGACGGTCGATGTGCCAACTCCATTCGTGGGCTCATTGAAAAACATGAGGTCTCGTGGAGTCAGTCTTGGTGCAGCCGGCTGAAAAGTCATGTCTGGTGACGGTGCTCTGGTGAATAACTCGAAATATGGCTGTTCAAAATCTCCTGCTATCAGATTACTTGCTTCCGGCGCCGGATTGGCGTCATTTCCTCCCGGCTCATCTGATGCATGGACATCATTCTCCTCATTCTGTGAGGGTTGGGTTGGTGTTCGTGTGGTAATAATAGGACTTGTCCCATCTAGCTCTACAGCTTCAACGACCGTATCGAGCGTAGGCGGGTTCGTACGATGGCCACCAATCGAGGGAAATGGGAGTTCGGCCGGGGAAACATTGAAAGGTTGGAATGCAGCAATAAGAGGGGGCTCGAAGGTATTGTTACTTCCTCCCTCTGGAAATCGCCTTGGTTGTAGTATTCCCGCGTACGAACTGTCGGAGGGCTAGATGAGACGTCTCAGTGAGAACTCAAGTTTAGTGTAAGGGCAAGCTTGGAAAACACATACGACATGTATGGGCGGGTTGGCCAGTGGGATTTCACCGTGTTCGTGTGTAGTTTCCTTCTGTCCTCGCCAGAAGCTTAAGCGAAACCAATTTCGGTTCATTGTGCAACGTTTTATCTCGATATATTTTGAGTGAGATTTGCTGAGATGCTCCATAGATAAACGAATTCGTAACTACTTATCTGAACGGAAAATGAGGCTGAGGCTATGCTCGGTAAGGTACATTTGACAGGGTACAATACGAGCTGAACACGCGCCGCCATGATATTGTACTGCGCCTCCAGAAGAGAAAAAGTAAGCAAGTGGGTCGGCTGGTATTTTCAGAATATGGTCCTCCTAATCGAATATTCAACTCGGGAAGAAACACAGATGAAAGTGTCTACCGTACTTTGAGGAAAAGCCTAAGTAGTTCAGGACCATTATAAGAACAAAACACCATCAAGCCTCGAAAGAGAATCAATACTCGAGTAATAAAGAAAGAAATAGACACCACCACCACCACTATATATCACATATACTAAAAACGCGCCAAAACGAGACAGCGATCGACAAATACAACGTATCTCATGAATTCTACACATTCCTTTCAATCTGGAATATCTCTAGAGTATCTATATAATAGAATAGAATACTTTTATTAATAATTTGTTTCTAGAATTTTAACCTAAGTAAACATTTAGGCACGAAACAAATTCCTAATAAGTTCCTTTAAAAATAACTATAAGGATTTACAATATTCGTATAGTACTCTAGAGGAGTAAAATAGTCAGGGGCCTTCACGTAACCTATTTTGTTCTCTATACCTACCTATAGAAAACCTTTAACCTAAATCGGGACTTCCTATTGGTCTACCAGAGCGGGTAACATTTTTACCGGGAGATATAACGAGTTTCAGCTACAAGTTCTACAAACTTCAAAGAAAAAATAATCATACTAATACTCAAAATAAAACAAAAAGACCTTAATAATTTGTAAACAAAATATATAACTTGAATACCTAATATGTCTTATAGTAAGTAATAAATTCCTATTCTCCTAAATTCCAGCTTATATAAGCATAATACAAGCACAGTATAAAAAGCTTATAGTATAGTATAGTATCTCCTATCATTCAAAGGTTTACTGTATCAATTCTAAACCTTGCTTCCCCCCATTATCTACTCAACTCTACTCTACTAACCTTCACATCACATCACATCACATCACATCACATCACATCACATCACAAGAATAAAATGTTGAGAACTTGGTCTACCACAACTATGATCAAAGCTCCAATCCAACTAACCAACTACAGTACTTATATTACACACCTCCAAAAACACATCTCTAAGAACAAGTACTATGCAGTATAGTAGTCCTCTACCAAGATCTTAAATTAAATCCAGTAATTGAACTGAAGCATGGAAACATAATATAATAAAGGCGAGAACAGCTCTTGAACAAAAAAGCTGAGGTGAAAGAGATATAAACACTGCACATAAAAGATTCTAATTGGAAAGAGAATTCAGAGTATTCAAAGAGTTTTTCAACGAACGACACCAATTTTTAAATCTATCATCATCCTCTATCAGACCAACAAACGAATCCATCCAAAATCCATCCATCCACCAAGATTCAGATTCCAAGCCCATCCATCCAACCCCTCAGATTCCAACTAACAGCCCAACACAGTCCATCTATCAAAGACGACCACTCTCACCCTTACCCTTCCCATCTACCCTCCCCAAAAAGAAACCCAATCAGTCCCATATTCCCAAAAGGTCATACATACACTCTCCCCAAAAAAGGGGTAGGTTCTCCAAAAGAAGACCGACACAAAGCCAAAGAAAAAGAGAGAGAGAATCTAAACCTCACCCTTCTGAATCCTCTCCAAACACCCCTCAAACTCCGTCCAATCCTTCATAATAACCACACACCCCGCATCCTCCAACACCTTCCTCATCTTCTCCTCCTCATGAGGCTCATAAGAACCCGTATACCCAATCGTCTTAATCTTCGCTCGATACGCCGCCGTCGCACCACTCTTACTATCCTCCACCGCAACACACTCCTCAGCTTTCTTCCCCAGAACCTGCATGGCATGCAGATAAATCGCCGGATCAGGCTTCGACGTCGGCTTCGGAAGGGACGTCGCAGCCGAGAAGACGTGATTGGGTTGGAAATACTTATCCTGACCGACCTTCTCGATACTCGCCTTCACTCGTCGTAAAGCCGAGGAAGAAACAACACTCATCAAGTACTTGCCCTCCTTATCTAACTTCTCAAGGACATCGTCCGCGCCGACGCACGGGACGAGTTTCTCCTTCAGCTTCGCGATGACTTTGTCTTCTTCCTTCAAGACGTACGTCTCGAGCTCGTCGTCGCCCATTTCGTACTTGTACTTGGCTTTCAGGGAGACCATCATGCCCCGGAAGTTTTGGCCGACGAATTCGGCGAGCAGGACGGGGCCGGTGTACCGGTCGGGGATGTTGCGGGAGGCGAGGATCTCGTTGGCGAGGTCGGCGCAGGCTTCGAAGGCGAGGGACTCGGAGAGGACGAGGGTGTTGTCGCAGTCGAAGAGGATGGTGGTGATCTGTTGGGTGCGTCAGCTTCTATCTTGGGCATATGTAGGACTTGGAGGGGGTTTTTGTTGAGACAAGACTCTCGGGAATTGATAGTGGAAGGAGGCGAGGAAACTTACCTTTGCAGACATCTTGACGGTTTATTATGTCGGTATTTCTTGAATATTTTTGTTTTTGTTGGTTTTGTAGGTTATGAAGTCTTCGTAACTCGTTCGATCTTTTCAAAGACGAATATGTAGCTAGCTAGCTCGAGTAGCTTGCTTTCCCGAACACCAAGACGGATGGATGGATGCTGACGTACTTGATCTCCCGCTAGGCACAGTAGGTAGATCAGTGAAGAGGGTAGCTGCAAACCAAAATCAAACTAAGCAAACAGTCTGTCTCTGTCTATCCCAAAAACTCTTTCCAAATAGCTCTAGATGCAAAAGATGTCGTTGTAAAGCCCAAGAACCTTTCGATGGTAGTTTTCGCACTTGCGTGACACAAAAACAGCGGATGAAGAACTGTTGAGAAGGACCTCTCTTGTAGGAACACCGGGCACTCAATAATTGGTGAAGTTCCTGCTTGGTATTGAAGTAGTGTAACCAAATCCCCCTAATAAAACCCGCGGCGGGGTATGCAGTTGGAGTATTAGTGGATCGCTTGCACATTCCAACAAATCCCCATCCGTTTCACTGACTCCAACTCCCCTCATCCCCATCACTCTCCATACCAATCCTCTCCCTCCCACTTTCACCAAAAAACAAGCATCTCAACCTTAAGCTTAAAGCATGTGCATCCATCCCACGGTCCAATTTGCTCCGGATGAGTGGAGTGGAGTGGAAGCACCTGCGTCCCATCATCGGGTGATTCTCATGTGCGATCGGAGCTTTCGGGCCGAGAATACTCAACTCATGATAATGCGCTTCGGGAGCTGAATGCAGTGGGAAGTGAGGAATTAATATGGATAAATAGGAGATATAATACGCGAGCTGAAAGCAAATCAGCCTTGAGATGTATTTCTTTGGGGCTTTACAGGACTAGCGAGCGCTTGCTCGTGGCTTAGGAATAGGGGAGCGGAGAGAATCGGTTGCCAGGAGATTTTGGTGTGATACAAAAGACTTCCAATATTCAGCAAACATGTGCAGTCAAGCGAGCCCCATGAACCAAACATTCCAGCACTTGCTTCCACAACCTGCCCAAGCTTTTGTATCTCGTCGTACAGTCTTGGCGATATCCCAACCTGTTCCTTCAGCCCGCCAAAACCCCTCTAGAGGTAGAGGTTAATTTGTCTGTTATTTGCCATCTATGCATCAGATACACACATATCAACGCCCTAACAAATACGAGTAAACGCCCCGAAACCACCAAACCCTCCGTCGACCATATGTAAACATAAGAGAACCGGTCTTCGTCGTCCCCAAGAATTTTCCTATTGCCCACCAAGGTTTATGTACTTGAAGTTTACACATTATAACTTGCACTAGGGAACTGCGCCCTTCCCCCCGCACTACCTACAGATCCCTGCGGAGCCTGTGCCGAATACGCAACTGGTGCAGCACCCCCGTACCCAGAGTAACTCGTGTCATCGTGAATAGGTGGTGCGACGTAGCCGGAGTTGTAACCCCCATCATATCTACTACTTTGGCTGCCTACCATACTTGGGTTGATTGGGGCATCGTTATATTGAGGTCCACCGACGTTACCAATGTTGTGGATATCGTCGTGGTCGTGCTCATCAATGTTATGCACCGGTGCGTACTCGTCGTGTGGAGCGGTTGAGAAAGCCTCCTTATCAGGATCGATTTGTTGCGCGTTGTGGGGGGCGCGGGAGGCTCCTGGAAGGTAGCCCTCACGCTTGTAGTAGACTACTCCGTAGAGTGACATGAGGGTTGTTAGGACCCAGAGTAACCTATATTTTCCTGTTAGTCTTCTTCCAATTTCCCAGATGTTTTGTTGAACACTGCAAGGGGAAGAGCGAACCATATAAATACTCCCAGTCCTACTACTGCTTTACTTCTCCCACATCCATCTCCACATTTCCCGCTCGAGTTGAAACTTGCTTGGGATGCGAAGGCGGTTAACCATAAAATACAAAAGAGGGCGTCAACGCAAGCGAGAGCGTATGGGTTTGCGTACTTCTTGGTACGTGGGAATCGTGGGGTCATGGTGAGGTATATTAATGGGATTACGGTTAAGAAGCACTATTCCATATATTAGCACCTCTTATCATTTCCCAAGATGAGCTTCGGCAGGAAGATAGAAAAGAAACCAAGCTCTACATACCAGACCAAAGTACCAGCCTATTCTCCCATCAATCGTGGCTGTCGAGCGGAAAACGGTAATCTCTAGAATCCATGCTACCAGCATCAAAGCTGCCTGTCCGACATGCGTCCCCAGCTTTATTTTCTGTAACTGATGTGCAGCGAACTCCATGGCGACAGCTATCTTATGTTGGTTGTGTTCGTATGCAGGTGGTGAGTGTTGTCTTTTCCTCGAGATGAAACAAGGCAGAAGAATCGGGAGTGATTGAGTTCGAGTATGGAACTTGGCAGATGAAGAACAATAGCAAAGATCAGAGTGGTACGGAGTGTTTTGGAGTAGGGGAAGGGACGATGCGAGAGCCGATAGGGAGATGGCAGACGAGTAGATGCAGCTGGAGGATTAAAGAGCGATGCGTAGGTGTGCGAAGATGGCGATGGGCAGATTCTGGAGTTGAAGGTTGCGTTGGGTTGCGTTGCGGGAAGTGGATTTTGTTGCTCTGAGTGACTGTGGCTCAGTCGCTGTGTTGACGCGGTCCTGGGCCTTCGTTGCTTGGGGGAACAGGGTGGGCTGACTGACTTTTGGTGGTTACTCGAGTACGCTGTCGAGTTGCTGCCAAAAATAGACGGGACGAACACTGGAGCTGTGGCGTTTGAGGAGGAGATGAAATGTCTTGTACTCGTACTTCCTCGCTGAAATTACAGTACTGAACTCAACCTTTTCTTCTTCCTCTCTTGATGATTCACTTGACAATTGAGAGGGTCAAGATACATTCACAGTCGCCACCGAACGATTACTCCGTCCCTCAAAATGTTGGCCCAGGCTATGATTTCACACACACACTGGGCGGCTCAGCCACCCTCAGGCCCGAATCGTTGCAGCGCCAACGTCATCCGCCAAACGCCAAACGAACGCAAAGCAGACAAGGGGATTAAGGTTGTGGTGGTTGCAGCAGAAGAGGCTCACGGATTGCTGAGTACACCCAACTCCACTCCAAAATATACCAGAAAGCTGTGAACAATTACTCCGAGTATTATGTATATGAATTGTTTTGGAATTGACTCTGGATTGACCCCAAAATAAGTATATCTTCGGTCAATTGAGTTGGTTCTAAAGTACTAGTACTCAGTACCATGATCTGAAGGTGAGCTGTGGGTGGAGCAATGACGGCGCTTCAACCAACACAGAATTCCCATTGTCCTATCAATCAATCCCACTCTCCAACACCAACACCCTAGTGGGTTTGCCATTACTGTAGTAACCTCTACTATATTTTCTCTCTCGCCCGAATCTCACTGTATACAAGCTTTTGAAAGAACAAAATGGCCTCCAATGGCTCTGCCACAAACCGCGCAGACGAAGAAACTCCCCTCCTCCAAGAAGAGAACAACCCTCCCGAAGTTCCCACTTCCACAAGCGGCGACACCGTCACGGTACCTACGACAGAACAAACCATCATCCCAGACGAGATTTCCGCGCGGCGTCTCGTGCTGACCCTGGGAAGTATCTATGTTGGGGTCTTCCTAGGCGCCCTGGATAGTACCATCATCGCAACCCTCTCAGCGCCTATCTCAACCTCCTTCAATAGCCTTTCCCTCCTCTCATGGCTCGCATCTGCATATCTTATCGCCAATGCGGCGTGTCAGCCCCTGTCGGGACGATTGACGGATATCTTTTCGAGGAGGACGGGCTTGGTGGTTAGTAATGTGTTGTTCTGTGCGGGGAACTTGATCTGTGGATTGGCGAAGGAGGAGTGGGTTATGATTACTGGTCGGGTTGTTGCCGGAATGGGAGGTGGTGGGCTCATGGCTATCAGTACATTCGTGGGGAGCGATCTAGTCCCATTGAGAAAGAGAGGACTGATCCAAGGGATTGGAAATATATGTTATGGCTCTGGCGCAGGACTAGGTGGGATATTCGGGGGGTGGGTAAACGATACCTGGGGCTGGCGATACGCTTTCCTCGTCCAAGTCCCCCTTATCGTTATTTCTGGAACCTTGGTCTTCATAACCGTCGACATTCCCCCAAAGAAATCCGAGAAGTCAAAACTCTCCCGTGTCGACTTCCTCGGAGCTACCTCTCTAACCATAACTCTCGTCCTCCTCCTTCTCGGCCTAAACTCAGGCGGTAATCTAGTCCCTTGGACGCACCCCCTGGTCCTCGTCTCGCTACCCCTATCCCTCGCTTCGCTAGCAGCATTCATATACATCGAAGGCTACATCGCCAGCGAGCCCGTCATCCCCGTCAAACTCCTTCTTAACCGAACCGTCGCCGCAGCCTGTCTCTGCAACTGGTTCTGCACCATGGTACAATTCATAATCCTCTTCTACATCCCCATCTTCTACCAAGCCAAAGGACTCTCCACCACCGCTGCAGGCATGCGCTTGATCCCCCAATCCATTGGAAGTTCCTTTGGAAGTCTCTCTTGCGGACTCATCATGAACGCCACAGGAAAATACAAGATCCTCTCAGTCCTATATCTCGCCTCTTTCGTCCTAGGAACGGGCCTCATCTGCACCTTATCCTTCTCCGCACCGGCCTGGCCAGGCAGCATCTACCAATTCCTCGTCGGCAACGGCTACGGCGGCATGCTCACCGTCACCCTCCTGGCCGTCATCTCGGCCGTCTACCACGAGCACCAAGCCGTCGTCACATCCGCCACCTACGCCTTCCGCTCCACGGGCTCCACGATCGGCGTCACCATCGGCTCGGCCGTCTACCAGAACCTCCTACTTTCCGGCTTGCATCGTCGATTTGGCGGTCTTCCTGGTGCAGACAAGGAGATTGAACGGATTCGTGATAGTTTTGATGAGTTGAAACACCTTCCTGCTGGATGGGAAAGTGGGGTGTTGCAGAGTTATGAGGAGAGTCTGAGGGGGGTGTATTTGACGGGTCTGGGGATTGCGCTGTTGGGGTTTGGGGTTGCGATGGGGATGAGGGAGAATAGACTTAGTAGTCGATTAGGGGGACGGGATTGAATGGATTGGTTTGAGGGGGATTTAGATTTTTCTTGTTGATTAGCGGGTTTGTTTGTTTAAGAGGTTTGGAAGTACGAGAATGCGTGCAATATATGTAGAGCATATATATATACCAGCCAAACAGTCAGATGCTTAGAATAGAATAGATATCTATCTTATAGTAGAATTATCTTGTATACTTGGTAGTTCCCGATTTATCATTGTGTTACTCGTGATACTGTAGCTTGGAATCATCGCTAAGTTACCTGACCTCTTTTTTTCGTGGATTCTGGCGAGGGATGGGGTTAAAGAGATACTGTTAGTGTGGGGTTAAGGAAAAGGATGTCGTAGATCCTCCCTTTTTCTTTGTGACTTGTTTTGTTTTTTGTTGCTGGGTTTGAGATATACTGTATGTTGTGGATGGTACGGTTATTATGTTTTGTTGTGGACTTGTGGACTTGTGGTTTTTGCTGTGTATGGAGGATTTGTGGGGCTGAGGGAGAAGGGGGAGGGGGTTTGTTTGTAGAGATATATATCCTGGTTGTTATATTTATAAACTCTCTGGTATATTCTGTTTCAGCTTTCTCTTATGGACGTGTGTTGGGAGCACCAGGTAGGGGGAGGAGGGGGAGGAAGAGGGGAAGAGGGAAGAGGGAAGGAGGGGGA